GTAGAGGGCACATCTCTCGCACACGAGTGCAAACAATAATCATTCAACTATGATTCTGAAATTGAATACGAACAGTAATAACCGGTAAACGAAAACGTGCGGTGAATCGAGTTATACATGAGAGCGCAGTAAAACTTGACTACCACGAAGGGACCAGGCACTTCTAAGTCTCGTGACACATCCTTGTAAACACAAATATCATGTAACTATTTATTCCTATTGTTCGTTTGACGATTATTATACGTATCCGCCCTCCTATTGCCCTCGCAGATACCCATAACGATCGAGGACATCTCGGTGTATGGACAGATCTACGAAGCATTCAAAAAGGGCGGATTGAACCCAAGCAAGCCGCCGACGGACAATTGAGAGAAAACGCTTTCTTCATACTTTCCATCGTCCCATCTATGTCCCATTTTCCAGACCAGTTGGTAAAGAAAACAGTTGAACATGTGCAGCATCGTATCTCAGCGGATAGGTACAATGTCCTATTCCTTTTTGACACAGAATTCATCTTCTAAAATTTAATTCTTCTTTTCCGGGTTTCTGTTCGAAATTTTCCAGCAATACATTTTGTGTTGCTCACTTTCACTCAGGTTTTGTAAACTGCAATTTTCTGCAACGAACCAAAAACCCCTCCCCCACCATGTGTGTGTAGAGGTGTATGTGACGAAGCGTACGTACTCACATCAGAAACATTGTCAACCACATCTTTCATCTAGTTTTGACGGGCTCACATTTCAATCAGTTACAATAACCATCATCTTGATTATCACTATACATCTTCACAGAGTTTCCCCATCTACGTGAATAAAAGCACCACAGTCGGTTACTCATTTCAGCAAGCGACAATCTCGTTGAAGAACACAGTGAGCGCTACTCAAATGCCCATGATTATATCGATTGGTTCGTCCGATCCATGCAAATTTCACCTTACTGTTTAACTAACATTGTGATGGGTGCATGTGTGTGTTTGTGTTGGTGCGTACACACTTCCTTGTGTATCCAGATCCTTATCATTCAAGTCAAAACGAAGTTAGATAAAGTGGAGTAAAGTCAACTAAAATTTTTATGCATCTGAATGATGAAAAATTTATGCAGCCACTGAAATCAGTATGTCCTAAGTAAAATGATAATATAGGATACACGAAGGCTGACAATGAAGTCCAGTGTGAATAGAATATCTAACAAATCGTGAAAAAATGAAAGCGTAATTAGCGTCACATTTGATAAACATTATATTTAACCGGGTCTAAGTATGGAAAGAATATAGTTAAATAGGGTACCCAATGAAAATATATTGCACATGTTACCTACCCCCCATACATTTCTTACAACGAAAAACTATGGCCTTTTCCATGCTTCTCCGTTTTTTGGGAAACCGTTGTGCAAGCGCCAATGTAACGTCTGTGATTCGCAATCCGTGATCTGTGCGTACTAAAATTATTAAAAAGATTCACATTCAAAAACACTTATTCTCACTCAAATTCACGCATAAAACTACCTTCGATCTGACTAACTAAACTCAATGCACGAATCCATCGTCTAATCCGAAAAGTGTTCACTGACCCTACCACTAACACGCCATCGACCGATTTCACTTCTCTCACATGCAATGATACCAGCTCGGTCATATCGTGAAGACCATCGCTTGCCGCATAACCACAATCCACTGATCTTCGGCATTGCAGTCAAAAACACGTATACACAGAGGTATCATCTTGCGACGAAACTGTCATTTGAATAAACTGCTGAGAGCTGCACTTGCCCCGTCTGAGGATGACTGCACGGTGTGTGGGACAATCGGACGAGGCAAGCGGACCGATTGAACTGGTCCATGAATGAAGTGGAATAGTGTGTGTACGGAACCGTATTCAGAGTATATCTAAGGGTGAGGAAATGAATCACTCACTGTGATGCGATCTCACCCGTGTGTGCGTGTGTGTGTATTTGTTCGTGTGTTCTGTTTTTGCTGCTTAATCATGTTTGAAGGTAGCAGGATCAATTTGTGCCACAACTGTCTGGATCGACATGTGCAGAAACGGTTTTGACAAAGTAGTACACGCGGGTACACGTATGCAAGAATGTGTTGGCAACGTGCGTGCTTGTCTGGAATTGGTTTGGGGCTTTGAATCGGTGTGTGTCCACAGAGTTTGGTTCAGAGAATGTTGTGAATAGAATTAACGATGCTCTCGCTCAGCCGGGTGCGGTCGTGCGCGCCTGTAATCCAGCTAGATGGAGGCTTGGTGTCGGAATCCCACATCTCACCAGTCCGGTTCGCGACACGAGCGCAGCGGTGTACGCTCGCGCTTAGCCCTGACGGTTGACGGTTCGGCCTGGGTTTCGTGTGCGCAGCGAAATCACTCAGGTTCGGCCATTGTCACCGACTCGTGCAGTGAAGTGCCGGCGGTTGCCCGGGTCCTGTGGGGATGGGGAGACTGGCACCTTTTTACCAATCAGTCAATTAATTAACATCATATCATATCATCAATTACCATCATCAATTACCAATCAATTATCAATCAATTAATTAACGTCATATCATATCATCATATCATTATATCATATCATATCTTCTCAAAAATATCCCTCTTATCTAACACACCACTAATCCCGGCTGTTACAATGCCCCCCCCCCAATTGAAATTTCTATATATATATATATATATATANCATAGATATCGTATATGATATCATATTATTCAGGATAGGGTACTGTTCCCATCGGAATAACGATATACATTTATATCGAACATGTACATATATATGGTAGACAGTAATAGAACATGAAATGATATACAATAGAAAAACAATAGAAAAAAGACAAACCATATATATATATATTGTACAATATATTGAACGTATATATATGTATCTAATGTAATATAATATTGTTCCCAATATTTTTATTAGTATTTGTATTTTTGGATCTCCTCAATCGACTTCCTCTCTCTCTTGATATACCTGCTATCTATGTTATCATTATTTAATTATTATTATCGTCATGTTTATGTGAGTTTTTATCATTTTTATTGTGAGTACAACTAATATTACAGTGCGATTGCTCTATCCTTTACCATCGACTCGTCCATCTCACCCGTGACCTTGAACAAGTAATTTCCCTCTAACCCCTTCTGCGATCTGTTTGGATCATATTCCGCGATCCGAGGCGCTTAAAATCCCTCACCCCAACACGAGACTGTCTGAGTACCGGCTTGTACGTTTTGTAATGCTCTTGTTGTTACATCCAGTCCATCTGTGTGCTGATGGCACTCCTGTTGCACAGTCGAAGTTCACTGGGTCTGTCTAAGACTTCAGGCTCAAAGCAAGGTGTGGTTTCTCACTCGGGTTAGCTGGGTAAGCACCAGGTCCCTTGTTGCGGCTGAACCATTTGACCGATCGATGAATGAACCCGAGTGGCCGTGTGATTTTCGGGCCGGCACAGGAGGAGGATAGGTTCCCAATCCGATGCTGCCTAAGTGTTGATGGAGAGAATCAGTTGTGGAGCGATACGCCATGTGGGAAATTCTGAATAGAAAATGCTCAAGCGATGATGACACCGGGCCAACGCTTGACTAGTCTAAGATACACGCATTATTTTTCGAAGGGGGTTCGGTAAAAAGATAATCATAATTACTGTTCCACTTGAAATTACAGATTTGTTACACTGTCTGTTTATGTATTCACATTCACAGTACTAATGAGTAGTATGATTTTATGCCGGTGGGGGGGGGCGTTTTGTCTTAATTTGCCGTAATCCCTTTTCGCATTGAACTTTATTGCCTTGAATACAAGGGAACTAACAAATAATTGCCTGCGCTGGCATGCCTAGCCAATATTGAGCGTGTCTGCGTTTTACCACCCAATAAAATTCTAACCCCTTCATTGATTATTCATCGATTCTGCCCACATCCTATGCTCACTATCGGGTCCTGAGCGCAACTTAGGGAAACAGAGTACTGACAGTCAAGTGTAATGAAAAGAACAAAATGTGTGCGTTAATTTCAACGTATCCTTGGCACAACACTATACCTTTTAAACTTCAAGTGAATCCTTTGTAACTTCAAGTGAATCCACCGTAACTTCAAGCGAATCCGTTGAAACTCCATGTGAATCCAACCAATCGCACTCCATTGGAAGCCCCACAAGATTATTGGTGTTTCGGCCTTCAAATGTCCCCATTGTATCGGGTTTGTCTATACCCCGTGCAGTTCCAATCAGCTCACTTCTCCGTAAACAAAGAAAAGTACTTTTTTATTGAGTTACCGAGCGAGGTTGAATGTTTCCACCCGGGAACGTTATATACGTGATCATTGATCAAGTGTGCGTCATAGATACGAATGAACGAACCCAGAGTTAACTGATCTCTTTCGGTCGAGTAGGGAAGCGAATCACGTCAAGAAGGATCAGTAAGTCGGTCACCATGCCTAGACGTGAATGGGAGCATGATTCATTGCATGAATGGAGCCCTCAATAACCCAATGAGTAAATTCCATTGAAGCCGAGATTCTCTCGAATAAAACCGATTCCTTTGAATCAAATGCGACTGCGTACGTATTATTGACATTGAAATGCACGCTTGACAAAATATTTAGCATGCATAAGCTGGTGGGAGTGTCTACTTCAGTTAGTTTTCCCCCTCGAATCCAAATGTTCGTGATTATTTTGACCGAACTGGAATCGACCCCAAAGATTGATATCTTGTACCATTTACACGCTAACGATAAGCAAAATGTTGACCTGACCAACCTAGTTTTCTGGTTTTACATTCGCCGGAACCGGTGTGAGCAGTGATATCTGGGTAGTCAGTAACAAACGTTATAAAAGTAGTATGTATGAATGCAGCTGGTCTGAATGATGGATTCACAAACTTGGACATATCATCCAAAAGTTAGTTGTGATTGAATGTTGGTTTCTTGTTCGATCAACTATCAGGAATGACCGATTGGGAGTGGAAATGATGTGGCATTGTACCGTGAATTTGCATACCTCTGAACTTCGCCAATCCAAATGTGAGTTGATATTCATGTGGTAGAATCACGAACAAGCGACTGAGCATGTATACCAATGGATTACTTCTCAATTCACCATTGGCTAGTCCGTGAAAAACGACAGGGGCTATGAGGGAAGATCCGAGGGTACTCAGTGGACTGTCCGAATCGCCGATTAGCTCAGATCAGTTGCGAACGTGTGGAATTGGAACAGCACGGATTGCACTCGTTACTGCACCCAGTCTGTTATGCCGGAACCAGTGTGAGCAGTGATATCCGGGTAGTCAGTAACAAACACTATAAAAGTAGTATGTAAAACTGGATTGGAATTTTGTGACAAAATAAACCGGATCGATAAAAGAACAGTAATTCCGTTAC